CCCCCCCCCCCCCCCCCCCCCAAAAAAAAAAAAAACTGCCAAGTCCAGGATCTGTCACTCTGCTTCTGCCTCAGACAAACAAGCATAAAAATAAATAAATAAATAACTCCCTCTGTTCTCCACAGTGTAACTCCTTCCCACTTGAGTGTTTTGGACTAAAAACATTTAGGTTTACCTGTTCAAATCCAGTCCAGAAAAACACTCATCAACACTACACACACTCACTATTCAAATCCCTCAGTGATGGGGGACATCAGAGTACTGCTTGTTGACCCGGAACTGTGTTTGTTACTTTGTGAAGCATGACTCTGGTCAGAAAAATGTATTCAACACTTAAAACCAGCATTGTGTTCAGCTTCATTTATTTAGCTTTTTGTTGAGGTGATATAGGCCTACAAAGAGTGAACACGATTTTTCCTGTGAATATCATGATTTTATACAGTAGTTAGAGGTACAGACACAGCTAATGTGGTTGTGTCACTGCAGTTACTGTTTTTTTTCTTGTTGTTTTCAGTAAAGTCAGTGAATGAAACATGTGTTCAAGTGTTTCACAACTTACTTGCTCTCAGACTTTCCTCCCACAACGTAGACCAGACCTTTGTGTGACACAGTTCCATGACCGTACACTTCATAAGGCAGTGGGTCAGACTCCCCCCATTTAAACGACCTGTGTACAACGAGCACAACATTATCAGCTGATTGCATCGGTCGTTGGGCTGAATGTGCACACACATACACACACACATACACACAGTAACAACTGTTATACAACCGTTAATGTGTTTGTGTTAGTGTGTTTGTGTTAGTGTGTGTGTTTGCACATTCAGCCCACTTCACACATCTGTTACAGCTCTGAGTGGACACAACCAGAAAAGTTTCAACGCTCAAAGGGTCAGATTTCTGTTCCTGATTCTTTGAATTGAACAATTTACAAATTCTAACATCATTTAAACAAAAGTTGAGAATATTTTTCTACTTTGAAAATAATTTAGAATGTTTCTAAATCATTCTCACTACTCTGATCTGTTTTACTTCTGTACGTTTATTGTCACATACCTCGTTCTGTAGTTTTAGTTCCATTTCAACAATTCTTGAATCAAAACGTTCGGCTCATTCTGGACATTCCTGCTCTGACTGTTGGTGTTTGTGCAGTTTTTTAAAACTTTTTGAAGTATTTAACTTTGTCGACCATGTATGCCTCAGTGAAAATGAATGGAGAGCTCTTCACCTCCTTCAAACCTTTTTAGCCTTTTAGTGCTCATTTCAGCTTTTGTCGTGGTTTCGATTTTTCAGCCTGTTTATGCTAATTTCAGCTTCCTTTAGATCATTTCAGCTTCTTTTTGCTCATTTCAGCTGTTTCGTCTATTTTTGCTCCTTTTCTGCTAATTTCAACTTGTCAAAAAATTTTCAGCAACTTATTTACTCATTTTAGCTGTCTTCAGCTCCTTTCAGCTCCATATGCTCATTTAAGCTTTTTTTAAAGCAAATTTTCTGCTCCTTTTTATTATTTCACCTTTTTTAATGTTCCTTTCAACCTCGTTCAAATAATTTAAGCATTTTTTAAAGCTTTTCCAGCTACTTTTCTTGTTGCTAATGTCAGCTTCTTTCAGCACATTTAGGCTTTTTCACCCATCTTTTTACCTGCTCCTTTCTACTAAATTCAGCAGTTTCCTTCTACTCTTATTTTCAGCAAATGTCAGCTGTTCAAATCCAATTCTCATTATCAGTAATGTGATGAAACCTTTTCAGCTGGTTTCAGCTTCTTCAGCAGCTTTCAGCAGAAACATTTCAGCAATAAGCTTTCACACTGCACTTTGACAGGAAATGACAATGCTCTAGTTTTCTCCAGAAACCTTTGGGTAATGGGCCCATCAGAGAACACGAGTCCTCTGGATTCTGATAAACTTACTGTCTGTCATAGATCATGACTGAGTCCAGAGCATGTTCTCCGTCCTTCAGTTCTTTCCCACCGACAACATAGATGGAGTTTTCTACATCAGCAAGGCCGAACAGACAGCGAGGGCTGGGTTGTGAAGGCATCCCCAACCATTCAGAGCTTACTGGATCAAACTACGAATGAGAATAATGTAAGAAGAGATGCAGATACAGTAAAGAACACTTTGTTATCGGGTCAAGGGGAAGAACAGGTGGTCTTGTGACTGGTACCTGTAGGAAATAAGACTTGAAAGGTTCATCCTTGTCCTCCTCTTTGTAAAGAAGTCCTCCAACAACAAACACCTGGTTCTGCTTCGTCACCAGACTGCAGTGGGTTTTGGGAATCTCTGTAGACTCTGACACCACAAAGCACTCGTTTCCTGCGGGTTCATAAGCCACAGTACCTGTGTTATTGATCATGAGTATCAGATCCAGCTCAAACATGCCAAATCGAGGGTTGTTGTTTAAAATCCCGGGCAGGTATCCTTCTTCATCCTCCTCCTCATCACTCTCATGTCCTCCCTTTGCTCCATCACTGCTGAGCCTCTTGGGCTTTGGGAGACGCCCTTTGTGGGCATCTTTGACAAGATCCAGCTCCTTCTTGATCTCTTGGTTGAACCGGATGTACTTGTGACGTTCAACTTTCTCTTTGAGGTAATCCTCGGGTATGAGCCTGAATCTGACACAGTGTATAAGCTCAGGCAGATCCTTTAACCGTTTGGTCTCATCATGCTGGACCCAGTCCATCAGCGACTCAAAGACCAGCTCCTCCTGCTCAACATTTAGGGCATCTGAGGTGATGAGGATGGCCAACTCGCTGGGGGCAAGCTGCAAAAACTCCTGGTCTCTGACCACAACTTGGAAACGTTCACAGATGAAGTCTCTGGCTTCCAGAGTGAGCCTTGGACAGTCCAAAAGAAGACCCAGTCTGTAGATGGCGAGGCAGTTGCCCAGCACCATCTTCTCCTGAAGGTAGGACACACACACAGAGAAGATGGAGGGGATCTGGTACATGTTAGCAACCATGAAGATATCCTGGACATTCTGCTCCGTCAGGTTTATGTCAGATGTATACAGATAACGCAGGATCATCCCCATAACACTGGGGTCAACGTCTTTTAGGACTATTTCACGCTTTTTACTCTCCTCCAGCTCAGACAGAAACATGGCCTTGAAGAAGGGGCTGCTGGCAGCCAGAACCAGACGGTGGCAGGGGAACACATTGTCCTGGATTTTTAAGACACAGTCCACAAACCTGTCATTCTCCAAGAGGTCGCAGAGTCCGTCCTGAAGCAAAGTCTGCTGGTACATCCTAGGCTGCTGCATGGGGTCTATCGTCAAAGCAGCCATTTTGTTTCGTTCCCTGGTCCTGGTTGAGAACTGTGAGCTCCCTACTTACCACAACAGAGCCAGGCTGCTCACAGGACAGCTCAGATTGCTACGCAGAGTCTCAATGGGCTGGCAGGCGAGCTGATGGCTGCAGCTGTCTGTGGCTGTCAGTCAGTGTGTAAGTCAGAGGTATTTATAGACGGGAGCTTCACAAAGCTGAGAAAGGCTCCACTGCAACACACCCACCCACAAACAGCTGAATGATGCCACTGTTTAAAATCAGCACAATAACTCATCATGCAACTGAACCTCATTTCTTTTGATTTGTGACACAAGTTTATTTTTACATTATTATTTCATGTGAAATGCCCTGACACCTAGATATTTACCATATTGTTTGTGTTATACATTAGTTGAGACACAGGACTCTAAAGGAAAATACAATTCTGTAAGACTAATCTGTACTTTAATAAATGTTTCACAACTCCAAAACTATCCATCCGCTTTCTAGACCCAGTCTTCTGTGCAGAGTCAAAGGGGAGGTGACCGTTTCCAAGAGTCACTGTGCAGTGCCGGCCCAAGCCTCCATGGGGCCCTAAGTGAAATTTGGCTTGGGACCCACTATTTCTGCTTAAAATGTGGATTACTGCAATCAACAGTCAGATGATCAGATCATTCAACCACCTAACATAAACTCACTGCAGCTCTGACAGCCCTCTTTACATTATCCTATATGTATATACTGTAAGGGTCCCACTGCCTGCAGCCTGCCTTGCTGATGGCCGCTGATTACCAACACCTGGCGGCCAACAGCCTGATGAGCCTCTCCATCTACAAAAGGCTGCAGTCCAGTGTGACTCATCGCTGGAGCATATCACCTCACATGGTATAGTACTGTTGAGCTAGAAATGTCTAGGTGAAAAGAATTTGTTCACCTGTGTTCTCTTTTCCAGTTTCCTGGTTCCTCGTGTTTTTGGATTCTCCTCGTGACCTGATCTGGATCCCTCAGCCTGTCAGGTATCCCTCGTGCCTTTTTGCCTCCAGTTCATCAACATTTATTTATACAGGTAAATCCCATTTGCCAGCCTTCCTCGTTTCACTTGGACCTTCGTTGGATTTCCCTCTGCTGCTCTCTCCCTGGACTGAAGGACCAGCTCCCCTCCTTCGGGTTTGGACTGTAAGGACAAAAACGCTCTTCAAACAAACCACTCTGGTCTTCCCCTCTGGACCAACATTAACCTGTCATCCCTCTTTCCAGGAGCCGCTGAGAAGCAGCGTGTGGACTTGATTATCACTGTACATAATAAACACTGTTCTTTTTGTACTTCCCCTGTGTCTGCTTCGTTCTGGGTCTCATAACATCTGGGTTCCCCGCGCAGTCCTAACATATACGTGGTACTAAAAGTAACAACAACAACAAAAACTTCATGATATCATCAGTTCGCTGCAGAGCAAACACCCCGAGGCTCTTTACATTGTAGCCGGAGACTTTAACCACGTGAATCTAAAGGACTGTCTCCCAAGCTTTAATCAGCATGTGACGATTCCGACACGTGGAGACCGCACGCTGGACCGTGTTTACACGAACGTAAAAGATGCATACAAAGCCGAACCCCGCCCCCACCTAGGACTGTCAGACCACATCTCAATCTTCCTGGCTCCTGCTTACATGCCCCCGCTGAGACGCTCCAGACCGGTACAAAAGAAAGTTAAATGACGGAGCCAGGACAGTGGACCCATACTGAGAGATTGTTTTTGATCGAACAGACTGGCAGGTTTTCAGAGAAGCTGCTGAAAATGGAGGTTTGCTTGATCTTGACCAATACACATCCTCAGTTCTGGGTTACATTAGTACATGTACTGACACCGTCTCCACTATCAGAAATGTTAAAAGCTACCCAAACAGAAAACCTTGGCTGAATGCAGAGGTGCGTACCCTGCTGGAAGCCAGGAACACTGCCTTCAGGTCTGGAAACTCAGAGGAGCTGAGTAGGACAAGAAAAGAGCTGGTTGCTGGTATTGAGGGCCAAGGCCACATATGCAAAGAGGATTGAGGGTCAATTCATCTCACAAGACCCTCGGAGCATGTGGAGGGGCATTAAGTGCATAACAGATTATAAAGGAAGGAGTGAACAATGCCCCAAAGACCCATCTCTGCCTGATGCCCTCAACAAGTTCTATGCACGCTTTGAAGACCCAAACAGACCACCCAGCACCAGACTCACCTCGCCACCGGATGAAGAGCATCTCAGTGTGACCTCAGCAGAAGTAAGGAGTACCTTCAGGAGGATTAATCCGCACAAAGCAACTGGCCCAGACAACATCCCCGGAAAAGTGTTGAAGGAATGTGCTGATCAGCTCTGTGAGGTGCTGGCAGACATCTTTAACACCTCACTTACCCTGGAGACAGTTCCCACCTGCCTGAAGACTGCCACCATCATCCCAGTCCCAAAAAGCTCTACAGTGACTGGTCTGAATGACTATCGGCCAGTGGCCCTCACCCCGATAGTCGCTAAATGCTTTGAAAAACTGGTCATGACTCACATCAAAACAACCATGAACATCAACGAGGACCCTCATCAGTATGCATACCGTGAGAACCGATCAACAGAGGATGCAATCTCCTCTGTGGTCCACACTGCGCTCAACCACCTGGAGCAGAAAAACTCTTACGTCCGTATGCTCTTTGTGGACTTCACATCCGCCTTCAACACCATGATCCCCCAAACCCTGATGGACAAACTATCCACACTAGGACTAAGCCCCTCCATCTGCAACTGGGTACTAGACTTTTTAACAAACAGACCACAGTTAGTGAGGATCCACAACCTCTCCTCCTCCACCATAACCCTCAGCACTGGCTCTCCTCAGGGATGTGTGTTGAGCCCCCTCCTGTTTACTCTGCTCACATATGATTGTGCAGCTACCCATCCAGGCTGTCACATTGTAAAGTTTGCAGATGATACAGCGGTGGTAGGATGCATCACAAACAATGATGAGTCCAGCTACAGGCAAGAGGTAGAACACCTGGAGAGCTGGTGCAGAGAGAATAACCTTCACATCAATGTGAATAAGACAAAGGAGATAATTGTGGACTTCAGAAGGAACAAAAACACCTACACCCCCCTGAACATAAGAGGATCTGCGGTGGAAGTGGTCTCCAGCTACAAGTACTTGGGTGTACACATGAATGACAACCTCAGCTGGAGCAACAACACCACCAGCCTGATCAAGAAAGCTCATCAGAGACTCTACTTCCTCAGACGACTGAGGCGAGCTGGTCTGGGAAGCTCAGTCCTCACCTCCTTCTACAGGTGTGCAGTGGAGAGCATCCTGTGCTCCAGCATCAATGTGTGGCATGGAGGCTGCACAGCTGCAGAAAGAAAAGCTTTGCAGAGAGTGGTGAAGGCTGCACAGAAATCTGTCAGAATCAGCCTCCCCACCATCACAGACATCTACACCTCCAGATGCAGGAAGAGGGCCACCTGCATCATGAAGGACCCCACTCACCCAGCACACACACTTTTTGCCCCACTCCCCTCAGGAAGGAGGTTAAGGAGCATTAAGTGTAGAACCACTAGACTGAGGAACAGCTTCTACCCTGAGGCTGTTAGACTCATGAATCTCTAACTAGAATAATCACTGTGAAAAACCATATCATGTTGCTGCTGATCTGTTTCATGTTGCTGCTGATCTGTTTCAATGTTGATGTGTTCATGCGTGCACATCTGCTCACAGACTCATGTTCATGTTTGTGCTGATGTTTAATGTTTTATGTTATGAGTGCTTAGTGTATATTTAGTTGATGTTTTTCTTAGTTCATATCTTAGATGTTATTACTGTTTTTCTTATACATTTTATTGTGGGATGTAACTGGGACCCTGTGTACATAATTTCGCTCCACCACATGTACCACATGAGGTGCGAATGACAATAAAGAAACTCTGACTCTGACTCTGACTCTCTGAAAATAAAAACACCAGTATGCGATGTCTTTTACAGCCAAAGCGTCATCTGGTTTATTATCTTTGGTTTCAAACAACTGCAGCAGTAATGTTCAAAATAATTTAAAGTGTAAAATCAACAACAAACAGATACAATAACTTAGATGCATAAAAATAAATTAAAATGTGCAAATAAAATAAAAAATAAAATATCAAGGAAATATTTAATGTAAATTAACAATTACTTGAAACCACGTAAAATGGTTTAAAAAAAATAAATTTAAAGTTGAATCATTAGTTCTTAAAACTATGTAAATGTATGCAATAATTTGCAAAAGCTGAACTTAAAATATGAAATAGAATCATATAGAAATCAATTAAAAAAAATCTATTCCACTTAGGGGGCCCCCTAGTGGCACCGGGGCCCTAAGCAGCCGCTTAGTTTGCTTATGCCATTGGCCGGCCCTGTCACTGTATGAGAAACAGGGGGCAGGGGGCACCCTGGACAAACCTGGACACACAAGTATAAACAAGATTAAACAAACAATAAACCTCTCTACCATCTATTACTCACTTTATCACTGGCCTTTGGCAGTGGGTGAAAATAAATATTCTTCTTCTTATTTTGGCTTTTCCCTCTTCAGGTTCTCCACAGCGAGTCATCCTCCTCCACCTTACTCTGTCCTCTGCATCCTCTGTCCTCACACCAACTACCTCCATGTCCGCTCTAACTGCATCCATATTTCTTCTCTTTGTCTTTTTTCTGGCAGCTGTATTTATAACATCCTTCTACCAATATACCCACTGTCCCACCTCTGGGCATGTTCAAACCATCTCATTCTAGTTTCTCTAACTTTATCACCCAGTTGTTCAACTTGTGCTGTACCTCTGATGATCTCATTCCTACTCTTATCCATCCTTGTCATTCCTAAGGAGAACCTCAACATCTTCATTTCTGCTACTTCCATTTCATTCACATGTCTTTTTGTCCATGTCTCTTTCTCCAGACCATACAACATAGCTGGTCTCACCACTGTCTTGTAGACATTCCCTTTGACCTTTGCTGACACCTCTTTGTCACAAATCACTCCTGAAACTTTTCTCCATCCACTCCATCCTGCCTGTTCTCTCTTCTTCTCCTCTTTACCACACTCCCCATTTTCCTGGACAGTGGACCCCAAGTACTTGAAGTTTTGCACCTTTGTGACCTCTGCTT